CTCGTTAATAGTTAATCAAGGAACTTGAGTCACTCCTTTGTGCAACACGCTCTCGACAAGAGCCCGCGAGCGTGATAACATAGTACACGCGCCGACACCCCAAACATTGTATATTATGTGCGAAGTACCACAGGAGACTGCTGTGGTTGCTCCTGTGTCGCATCGAACAAGCTTCATCAGAGAGAGATTTCGGCCACGAAGGTAGTGTTAAGTCGCGTGTGAACGGACGGCGGCAGTATATGCCTTGCGGGGCCCAGCCACCTACAGTACCTTCATGGTGTTAGCACCAAATTGGTTGCCTAGCAGTCCAGCTCTGAAACTTGGTCTGGGGGGCTGTCGTCTCTGCGCCTCTTGCGGTAGCTCAGCAATGGCAAGATTGCGAGAAGCATCGGCTGATGGCATGAAAAAATGTGCTTCATTTCTCGCGTTCATACCTGGTGCCACCGCCGCAAGCCGGCCGCCCCAGAATGAATATTCTGGGAGCCTTACGAACTGTGTTTGTCACCGACGAGCACCATACGTCCTGTGAGGTGGGTGTATCGTTCGTGTACATACAGATGGGTTCACACCCAAATATGACGTCCTGCCGTATTGAATGGAAGTATGTTATTTCACCTTTACAGCCTGTACTGCGGAGGTTCAACACCATGCGAGGTGCCGATATGCCGCGATCAGTACGGCCCGTACGACCCTGAGGAACACCGTTCAGCGACAACGCAGTATGTTCGTTTCGTGACCGCGGTGCTCCCGGAGGCTATGTACAAAACGTACTGATGGTTCCGCTCGGTTTCTCTCGAAGGCCGAAATTTAGAAGGCTACACAACAATGCGACGAGTCGTTTTGGTCGACGACTCGCTTGAGCTCGACGAAACAGATGAGATGGGCACCGTGGCGCGATGCCTTGGGTGCCACGTATTCTTACTTGCTTTGGCCTCCTTGCAGCGAGACAACATGTTTAAATTGAAAGTTCTTCCCCTCAGCCCACATTTGTCACCAGGCATCACGTGCGAAGCTGCTGACATACCGGGCCCCAACGGAAGCACCACAACATTCGCACCGTTCACTATGGCAGCAAACCCTTCGCAGCACCGTGGGACGAGGACTATCTATGTCCGTTAAAGAATGACGTCAGGGCCCGGAAACGAGCTCAGACTAAGGCGCAACGTCACAACAGAAAAGGAGATTTCACAGTTCATCATCGCAGCATGCCCATCTCTTCCGCCTGCCCCATGAAAGCCGGGAGGTTCGGAGGGTTGCTCTCCAGAAGCTCCACAATGACACTCTTCGTGTATCCAATGATCTGCATGTCACGAGGGTGCAAGCAGGCAAAGAACGCGGCGGCGGCGGTGGCGAGGGCAATGTTGGAGTGAATGTAGTCTAGCCATGCTTGAAACTGAGGCAGGGAGACAAATCCGCTGAACGGCTCCTTCCGAGTGAACAAAATTGTCATGCCCAGGCCTTGAGCCCGGAGGAAGGGGGTTGGGATAATACGCTGGGTCGTTATTGGCCGAGCATCGGAGACCACCGATCGCAGAGCAATGCAGCATGTGCCTCCCCTCCAACGGGTGTATACCCCGAAGTCGCGCTATCCATCCCCCAATGTTAGGCTGGGTTCCTACAATGCCGTGCTGCGACGTAGCGATCCCAAGGGGGCCTATTGTCCAGCTACCCCCCACAAGACAACGGCAAGTTATCCTTTCGGCTCCATAGCTTTACTTTCATCTGCCCCCCACCTGTCCAAAGTTGCTCCGCTTCGCGCCTCGTTCGGCCCAGGTGTGATCCAGTAGTCTGAAGGCCATGCAGAAAATCTGAAAACGCAAAAATGAATGGTCCCGGTCCGTGATAAGATTGAGTGAGTGACAGCTAAAGATCTGACACGACAAGTCAATTCCTCAGCGGACGGAATGGATGGATACTGCAAAATTGCGTTTTTCAGGATATCCGCACAAATCCATGGGGGGCGGCAGACGGCCTGGGGTTTCAGTAGCGATGGATGTAGCACCTGATGCGTCTGAAAGCCTTTTGGGGCGCTGAAGACCCACCCTTTTTCGTTTCAGGAAACCTCTAGTACACCAGACAGGAAATCACAAATGTAAAAAACGTGTTAAGGCTTGTGTGTTTCGCCGTGGACACCTTGCGCGCCTAGGAGACACCCGGAAGGTCAGTGTCGTGGCATGATGTGAGGAATAAAAACGCTCCTGGCAAAGCACGACCGTACGCGAGCGTCGGCTTATGTGAGCAGAGCTGACAGTAGCACCACCCAGGTGCAACTCAAGACGACACACACCAGCAGCACAAAAAAGAGGCCGCCCTTCGTCTGTCTTCCCTCCTTCTGAAACCCCACGCTAGATACCAGCTAGATACCATCATAAACACAGTAGAACCACTCAAATGTTCGCGTCCGCTTCACCGTTGGTGAAAGATAGAGCCTTGTTTCGTGCGCAACGTTGCCCCCTACTAGACCGAGTGATGCCAAGGAGGCACGAAAAGCGGTTTTCTCTCAAACACAAAAAAAATGATGGTGGGCCCAAACATTCGGAAGTTATTTAAAGACACAGAAAATAGCTTTACCTCGAAGAACGCCCCCCGCCTGTCGAACACCCCCCAGTATCCTTTTCGGCTCGACGCGAACTGATTCGCCCGCATCTCCAAGACGTCAGCCAGCATCAAGGTAAGGTTGTTGGCCACTACCGCCCAAGGGTAGTGGGAGGAGCCCCCTACCGACTGCGCCCGGCACAGCGATAGTGCCTGATATGACACACCGGAAGGTAGAGAGGAGAGGACAGGGGCAAGAGAGGGACGAATATGATGACTTCCCGGTATGCAGTGGATTGTACGACAGAAGATAGAGGAGTGGGGACAGGGGCGAGAGTGGCCATGCATGAAGGCTTAAATGCCTGGTGTGTAGTAGAAAGTAAAGCGAAGGTTAGAGGAGAGGGGACAGGGGCGAGAGAGGGACGCGGACCATGACTCACAAGAGTTGGCAGACGCCACCTGACCCTCTGCCAGGTAAATCCCCTTTGCTTTGGATTCAAAGAGAACTCCTTGCAACCACGAGGACTCGGCACCGTGCCCATTTCTCCTCTAAAGGGCTCACGACGGTATGTTCGACTCCAAGGTCATAAGGGGCCAGGCTGGATGCTTCCGCCACGGCAATGAAGGATGACGCATCCACTTCACGACTCGACCTCTTCGAGGAAAAGGCAACATGTCCGACCTGGAGGCACCCCGTTCCGGCCTAATTTCGGCTGGCAGAGACTGTCGAAGGCTACGCTCTTGGGTACAGAAACTCATTAGAGCCATGCACTAACAGCCCACCTTTCGATCGTACTCCTGGCAGAAGAAGACCATCGACTTAAGCGCCAGGACCCCTGTGCCGCGGAAGTCCAGGGACACATTCGGCTGCGCGAGACGACCATAGAAACGGTCCCAAGTCGATGCACACGATAGAGACAAGCGGAAGGGTGTGACGATCGGGGTTGGAGTTCATCCATGTAACCTATTGATGAGCCGTCCGGAGGTCGGTGAGGTAAGTATGTGGGAGAGGGCACGCGAATCGGCAACCACATCCATCCCGAGCGAGCCAAACTGCATCAGGACTGCGGAAGAAACAAGAGCACGGGATAGCTAATTGTCAGCCGTTTCGGCTGCTTCTCCGGCCGGGGTGAAATGCTTCTTCCAAGCTTCGCCGTCGAGCCCAATGGGAAATGGGGGCTGTCCAAACCTACTGAACATTCCGTTCCCGTGCCGCGCTTTTCCCAATGTTTAACACGGCGCGTGGGACCAATGTACAAGTTACCCAGTGTGATGTGCAGCTTCCGTACCCACAACCTACGACCAGGGATCGTAAAATCGCCGGATGTAGTCACGCTAGTGAGAGAAGGTTATTCAAGGGTGCCATCACCCGACGACCACACGCAACAACACGCCCTCTCACCTCTTGGAACCCCGCCTCCTGCCATCTCGGAGACTCGACGCCCTCAAACTCCTCGTCTGTGGTCAATCCGTGCACCAAGTGGGGGAAAGAGAGAGAGAGGGCGGGGGGGGGGGGGGGGGG